AAAAAAAAAAAAAAAAAAAATAAGTCTTTAAATAAAAAGGGAGGGGGGCTGTGAGTTCAAAGGCATCTCCTGGAGATGATAGAGAGGTGATAATTCCAAATATTCTCTTTAGTGATGTTTCTTATCCTTATACTGGGGCTCCAGGTAATATTCAGCTTCGAGAGCTACCACAAATGCAGCAAATCCCCACTGATCCCTTTAAATAACGCACCCACAAAGGAGCTACTGCTGCCGAAGCCACCCGTGTATCTGGAAGATTCGCAGTGGGCCCATGGCTCCCTCAGCCCTCACGCAGCTAACCTCTTCCTGACAGTTTCTAATGTTGTCCCTGCTATTTTCCACTGTCTGAATCTGGACGTTCTAATTCGTCATGTCACATCCAGGTCCAGGGTCACATGTGACAGTAATCTGTCCTCCAGGGCACTCTCAGTGTTTAGTCACCTTTATCTTATAGATGACTCATTCATACACTTTAAGAACCTATTTTTAGTCACAAATGACATGAGACACCTCACCTCAGGAACGACTATAACATATTTACGTGTTGTGATACTATACTGAGAACCCCTGGTCTCCAGGACAAAGTCTCTTATGTGTTACTCAAAGCCTTCTTGACTTGGGTAATCCCTCCCCAGGACAAACTTTCTCTCCCTGACTTGGAGATTCTCAAGGCATACAGCCTGAAGCCTCGAAATATGCCAGGTCATTTCCTACTTCTTGGAATTGTGGGTACTGCCCCATTACTCATGATATCCCTCCTTTTCCTCATGCATCAGGAGACAGCTGGTCAGTAGTAAGAACTATTGTTTCACTGCCCAGCCAAGAACAGAACAGCTAGTTCATGCCATGAATCAGCCTGATCTAGAGCAGAGGTCTGAACCTGGTCAATTTCCCACACCACACCCCCAGACATGTAGTACTGCTTGGAGACCTTTTTCTTCCTTTCTTCCTTTCTTCCTTTCTTCCTTTCTTTCTTCCTTCCTTCCTTCCTTCCTTCCTTCCTTCCTTCCTTCCTTCCTTCCTTCCTTCCTTTCTTTCTTTCTTCTCTCTCTCTCTCTCTCTCTCTCTCTCTCTCTCTCTCCCTCCCTCCCTCCCTCCCTCCCTCCCTTTCTTTCTTTCTCTCTCTCTCTTTCTTTCTTTTTTGTTTTTGGGTTTTTTTTGTTTTTGTTTCTTTTTGTTTTGTTTTGTTTTTCAAGACAGAGTTTTTCTGTGTAGCCCTGGTTATCCTGGAACTCACTCTGTAGATCAGGTTGGCCTCAAACTCACAGAGATCCACCTGCCTCTGCCTCCTGAGTGCTGTGATTAAAGGCATGCACCACTAACTCCCAGCCTATATTTACATGTGTTTATATTTAATATGTTTTTATTTTATATGTCTGTGCATCATGTCTGAAGTGTCTGTGGAAATAAGGCATAGGTGTAGAATCCTCTGGAACTAGAGTTATAGACAGTTATGAACTACCATGTGGGTGCCAGGAACTGAACCTTGGTCTTTTGTAAGAGCAGTGAGTGCAGCCGGGCAGTGGTGATGCACACCTTTAATCCCAGCACTTGGGAGGCAGAGGCAGGTGGATCCCTGAGTTCAAAGCCAGGCTGATCTATACAGTGAGTTCCAGGACAGCCTGGGTCACACAGAGAAACCCTAAAAACAACAATAACAACAAACAAACAAACAAAAAATGCGGTGAGATGGCTCAGCAGGTAAAGGGACTTGCCACCAAGGACCTGAGTTTGGTTCCCAGGCCCCACATGGTAAGAGAGAACCAAACCCTGGAAGTCGTCCTCTGACCGCTACCCATTAACTGTGGCACATGTACACACAAAAATAAATAGGTAAATAAATAAATACAAATAAATGTAAAATTCAAGAAAAGAGCAGCGACTACTCTTAACCACAGAGCCTTTTCTCCATCCCCCAAAGATACTTTTAAAAAAGAAGCATGAGGGATATAGTCTATGCATATTTAAATGGCATAATGCTTAAAAAAATTCAACCCTAGCTCTTTTCCCTAAAAAAATTAACAAAAGCATACCCAAAGAGACCATAGAAAACTAACTATACATTGTTTTGAGGATCCCAAGACAAAAGGAAGAATTAACAATAAATGGGCATATCAAAAGCTGTTTACTGAAGGAGGGGCAGCTTTCTCAGTGACTATGCTTAAGCAAACTGACGGTGGTTAGGAGCTTTATCAAACATATATGGGTAGCTAGCTACATGATATCTTCATGGAGTAAAATAGTCATAAGTGGAAATGCAAAATGGAAGTGATCACAACAGAAAGAACATGTTTATCCAGAAAGACAAAACATTTAAGTAATAAAATAATTGTAAATAAATTAAAAGGTTAAAAAACAAATTGCAATTTTTTTCCCAATGAACATGATGGTCAAGAGGTAGTACCCTTTTATTTTTTTTCTTTTCTTTTCTTTTATGTGTGTGTGTGTGTGTGTGTGTGTGTGTGTGTGTGTGTGTGTACGAAAGGGGACCAGAAGAGGGCATCAGATTCCCTGGATTTGAAGTTACAGTCTCAGTCTGCCTGATGTGGATGCTGGGAGCTGAGTTCTGGTCCTTGCAAGCACTCCTGACACGCAGGCAGCTTCTCCAGCCCTAGTGATTATACCATTAAAATGTAAAAATGTACTAAAATGTACTAGATGGTACCGGTGGTTCAGGCCTGAGATCCTGGCTACTGGGAAAGCTGAGGTAAGATCACAAGTTCAAAGCTTGCCTGAGCTACAGAGTGAGTTTAAAGCCAGCCTGAGTAACTTAGAAAAGCTTTGTCTTCAAAAAGAAATGTTAATGGCTGGTGATATAGCTGAGCAGTAGAGAGCATCTCCAGCAGGTGTGGATCCTAGGTCCAGTCCCCTATGCCAAAAACAAAATGCACCAAACTAATTAAAAATGCTACAACCTCAGTGAAAATAAGTGGGTAAAAGACACAAATAGAAAATTCAAAATAGTAAGCACAAGGAAATTATCTGACTATGTATCATTATATGCTCATGAAATTTGGAAAAAAGAAAAATAAGAGACATAGTTTGGATATGGTATTTATAGAAACTTCCATATGCATGCAGGGTTAAAAGGTAAACTGGGGCTGGAGAGATGGCTCAGTGGTTAGGAGCACTGATTATTTTCCTGGGGTTCAGTTCCCAGAACCCACATGGCACCTCACTCTATAACTCTAGCTCCAGGAGATCCGATGCCCTCCTCTGAACTCTGGGGGCAACAAGTACGTATTATACATACATACATACAGGCAAAACATTCATACACATAAAACAAATCTTCAAAGAAAAAGAAATTGGTAAAATATTATTAAAAAATGTTTATTGAGCCGGGCGGTGGTGGCGTACGCCTTTAATCCCAGCACTCGGGAGGCAGAGCCAGGCGGATCTCTGTGAGTTCGAGGCCAGCCTGGGCTACCAAGTGAGCTCCAGGAAAGGCGCAAAGCTACGCAGAGAAACCCTGTCTCGAAAAACCAAAAAAAAAAAAAAATGTTTATTGCCAGGCATGGTGGCCCATGCCTTTAATCCCAGCACTTGAGAGGCAGTGGCTGCTGTGGGACGGTCTGTATGTCAAATTGCTCTGATTGGTCAATAAATAAAACACTGATTGGTCAGTGGCCAGGCAGGAAGTAGGTGGGACAAGGAGAGAGGAGAATTCTGGGAAGCGGAAGGCTGGGGGAGAGACACTGCCAGCTGCTGCCATGACCAGCAGCACGTAAAGACACTGGTAAGCCACCGGCCACGTGGCAAGGTATAGATTTATGGAAATGGATTAATTTATGCTATAAGAACAGTTAGCAAGAAGCCTGCCTTGGCCATACAGTTTGTAAGCAATATAAGTGTCTGAGTGATTATTTTATATGTGGATTGTGGGACTGCCGGGCTTGGTGGAACCTGGAGAGAAGCCCTCCAGCAACAAGTGGCAGGCGGACAAACTCTGTGAGTTCGAAGCTAAGGTGGTCTACATAATGAGTTCCAGAACAGCCAGCCAGAACTACGTAGAGAGAGACCCTGTCTCAAAAAAATAAGTGAGAGAGAGAGAGAGAGAGAGAGAGAGAGAGAGAGAGAGAGAGAGAGAGAAGGAGAAGTTCTTTTACCTAATTTCTCAAGTGGGAGTATCCAAGAAGTCATTCCAAGTTTGACAGGTTCAAACACAAAACTGTCTGAAGCTTTTATGCTTCCTAAGTGGGACATGATTCAGTGCCTACTGAAGTGAAAAATTCAACAGATCCACTGTACCTGGCGTAGATCCTGGAGTAATGGCACCAAGGCTTTGAAGCAACTTTTTGTCAAGTCAGTGATTGCTATAAGAGTTGCCCTTTTGAAGGATTCACAGAGCCTTTGCATGGCTTGGTCTCCAGACAGACCCAGCAAACCAGGAAGCTCCCATGTGGCTGAGAACTGCTTAGGTAATGGGTCCTTCAAAGACCTCTAGATACGTTTTGGTATCTTCTGTATAACAATAAAGAGACCTTTGCAAAGCCATGAGGCAGTCATTCCTTCAGAGGCTCGTTCTGCTGCTGCCCCTGCTGCTGCTGCCCCTGCTGCTGCTAAGCCATTGAACATGCCAGAGTGACTCTGTCTTGGACTAACCAGAGTAACACAGAACACCAACAGCAGACTAACAAAATGGATGAACTATAATGTCTCTAGCTGATGATGAACCTATGTGTCCAGTTGGAGCCTCCAGCTTACCCCTGTAAAGTCAGGAAAGCCTCTGCCCTGCCCCCCTCGCCAAACCCCGCCTGCTCAGAGAGTTCCACATCTGCACCAGCCGCCCAAACCCCAGCCTAAGCTCTCAGCTTCTGAGAATACTCGGGCACAAACCCAGGTGTGGGAAAACATCATCACCCCTTGCCTACAATCTATAAAACTTTCCTGCTCTGGCCTGGGTGCACAACCTCTCCGGCCTTGTTCTCTGAGGCTGGTGAGCCTGCCCTGAAGTTTATACCTGCTGTTAGACTTCTTTAATTTGGCTTGATCCAGCTTGGGGTGGGGCTAGAAAACCTATTACTATGTAGTTCCTAAAAGTGTTTCAAAGAACATTGTAAGACATTGTTTGAGCATTTCCTACCAATGTGTATGAAGGTAGTTAAAGATCTTTGCCCTGGGAGCTAGAGAGGTGGCTCAGTGGTTAAGAGTACATGCTGCTCTTGGAGAGGACTGGAATTCAATTCCCAGCATCCATGTCAGATGGCTTACAACTACCTGTAACTCCACGCCCTCTTCTGGCCTCCATGGGCACTTCAATCATGTGGCATATACAACACACACACACACACACACACACAGATTTTAAAAAACAAAATCTGGGGGAAAAAAGGATACTCACCCTTGGAATAACGTAGGGTAGGTAAATTTCAGGACAGACAGGACATACTGAAAAACAAGTACCAGGTTAATGGACATTTTGATGACAGCGAATTGATAGAGCATATAATAATATGCCCATTGAAGAAATCTGAGTGTGTCACATAAAGGCATTCATCCCCCCAAGTCATGAATGGGCAAAAGAATGGCCTTCCAAGTTATATTGAGGAGAACAGCTGGGGTAAATTTATAGTTTTGTTTTGTTATTGTTTGCTTGTTTGTTCTTGAAACAGGATCTTGTCTGTAACCCAGCCTAGCCTAGAACGTGCTATGTAACCCGGGATCCAGGTAATCCTCTGGCCTTGGCCTCCTAAGTACTGGAACTGCAGGCATGTGCCACCATACCCGAATTCAATTTGTATTTGTACTCTTTCTTTTTTAATTCTTTGTCATGTATAACTTGTTGATATAATGTATGTATGTATACACGTTCACGTGTGATTGTGGACACAGGCATAGCACGTGCGGAGGTCAGAGGACAACCTTCCATGCTCTGCCTTCCACCTTGCCTGAGACAGGCCTCTTCTCAGTCACCATTGCACACGCCAGACTAACTGACCCATGAGCTGCTTCCGTGTCTGCTTCCTATCTTGCTATAGGAGTGCAGACCCACACCACTACGTCAGGCTTTTAGGCGGGTAGATTCTAGGAATCTGAACTCAGGTCCTCACACTTGAGAGGCAGGCACTTCTACCTGAGCATCTTCTCCAGCCTTCCTATTAAGTCTTTAGTCAGATCTATAGACCTTTATAATGGAGGGGTTGTGTTTTGTCTTTGGAGACATCTTTCTCTATTATGAACACTTTTAAGTTTATTTATTGTCTAAAGCCATTAAATAGGAAAGCACTCTTGATTCTCTACATTATCTTTAAAAACAATGCAGCTAAGCCAGGTGCGGTGGCCCACACCTTCAATCCCAGCACTCAGAAGGCAGAGGCAGGTGGCTCTCTGTGAAGTCAAGGCCAGCCTGGGCTACAGAGCTAGCTCCAGGCCCCTGGAGATACATAGTGAGACCCTGTCCCAAAAAAGTGGGGAGAGGGAGGGATTAAATAAACAAAACAGAGTCAATGGTTTTGAGGAAGTTCACAGAAGTCTTCCCCAGCCTACCCAAAACTCTCCCTGAATAAGCTCCTAACTGTTACAGCTATGGATAATGTCCTGTGCTGGATAATTTCACTTGCATCATTCAGCATGTCGCACCCTACCTTTTCCGGATGCTTCTATTCTGAACTGGAGAAAGGATGAAGTGAGACCTGGGCATGTTCCGGAACACCCGGAACAACCTTAGCTATGATACCAGTATTTAGTCAATGTATCGTGTGCTTAGCTTTGGTCCACAAACTGAGGGAGATCAAAGATATTGAAGCTCAGGCATGGGGGTGTGGTCAGTGGCTGAGCATGTGGGGATGGGTGTGGGCAGTGGCTGAGCATATGGGGATGGGTGTGGGCAGTGGCTGAGCATATGTCTAACATATGTGAAGCCCTGGTTTCCATTTGTATTATTACCACATAATAAAGCAAATTGCTGAAGCTCTCACCTCACTTTTATTAAAGAGGCAGAGGCAGGCAGATCTCTGAGTCTGAGGCCAGCCTAGTCTACATAGTGAGTTCCAGGACAGCCAGGACTACCCAGAGAAACCTTGTTTCAAAAAAAAAGAAAGAAAGAAAGAGAGAGAGAGAGAGAGAGAGAGAGAGAGAGAGAGAGAGAGAGAGAGAGAGAGAAAAGAAAATAAAAGAAGAGAAAAGAAAAGGAAAGGAAAGAAAAGAAAAGAAAAGAAAAGAAAAGAAAAGAAAAGAAAAGAAAAGAAAGGAAAAGAAAGAAATCTATCGGCTGGTAAATGGCTCAGAGGTTAAGAGTGCTTACAGATCTTGAAAAGACCCCAGTTAGATTCCCAGCATCCACACGGGTTGGCTCACAACCACCTTTAACTCCCTCTCTAGGAGCCCCAGTGCCTCCTCAGGCACCTGTACTCACATGCACATACCCACACACAGACACACGCATACATGTAATTTAAAATAAAATGAATATTTTTAAAAAGAAATCTATGACAAATTGAATGTTAGCTCTAAAAATGTCTCTGAGCTAAGTGTAGTGTGGCTTGACTATAATCCCAGCACTCAGGAGGCAGAAGGAAGAGGCGGAGCCAGCCTTGATTACACAGCAAGGCCCTGTGGGGGCTGGTGAGATACCTAAGGACCAGAGTTCAATCTGAACCGACTCCTGCAAGAAGTCCTCTGACCTCCACACGTGCCCCATGGTAGGTACACCCTCACACATACACACACGAAATAAATAAATAAAGGCTGGAGAGATGGCTCAGCAGTTAGGAACACTGGCTGCTCTTCCTGAGGATCTGAGCACACGATGGCTCACAACCCTGTGACTCCAGTTCCAGAAATCTAATGCAGTCTGGGCTCTGCAGGCACGCAACACAACCGCGCAGATAAACACGCAGGCAAAACAACCATATGCATAAAAATAAATTTTTTTAAAAATAAATAATTAATAATAGCCGGGCGTGGTGGCCACACCTACAAATCCCACAGAACTTGGGAGGCAGAGGCAGGAGGATCCCCTGAACTCAAGGCAACTTCCCACTCCTCTCAAATAGGAGTTTCTGCCTCTCAAGATTTTTAAACCCTTGGATATAGCGGAAGAACATGAAATGGAATAAAGACTAAATGAGTCAATCAGTGGGGTAAGGGCTGATAAAGTCATCTTTTCCACCGCGTATGGAACTTTGGGTCCTGGGGCAGAATGGGTCTGATCCCTTCAACGCTTCCTTCCCTGAGGGAAGAGGGGCCACTGCTTTCTGTTTGTTTGCGTAAATATGTATTTATTTACTTGAGACAGGGTTTCAAGTATCCCATGCTGGCCTCAAACTGGCGGGGTAGCTGAGGATGACTTTGAAGCCCGCATCCTCCTGCCTCCACCTTCCAAGAACTGAGAGTGTCGGTGAGTCCCGGGATGCAGCCCGAGGCTTTGTGCAGGCAGGGCCACATCCTCCTCTTGAAGGTGGTCCTCCGAGTCCGGGAAGTTCCGGGGAGTGGACTCGGAGTCGGTTTCCTCGCGGTCCCCACGCGGACTAGCCAGCCCGGGGCAGCTCCGGTGACGTGGACCGCACGGCTCGCACCCCACGCGCAGTCGCCCGCACGCTCACCTTGTTCGTGAGGTGAGAAGCCAGGTAGCAGGTGCAAAAGGTGAGGCCGAGCAGGGACCGCCTCCCGATCATCTGGCGGCTCGCTCGGCTCCCCCGGAGAGGCGGCGGCCCCCGCCGGAGCCCACCCGGCCGCCTCCGCCTCCGCCGGCCGGCCACGGGGCTCCGCTCCGCCAATCAGCGAGCCGCTCCTTAAAGGGGGCCCGCCTCCTTAAAGGGGCCGCTCCTGCTGCGGAGCCGGCTGCGCTGCCGGCCCGGAGTCCCGGGGTGGCTGGACCCGGGTCCTCTCTGGCTGCCGGTGGTAGAAAACGATGGAAGAGAAAGTAAGCAGGTTACAGAAGACGTCACAACATTCCTTTATGGTTTGAAAAAAAAAAAAAGCCATAACCATTACTGAATGACTGGATGAAAATGCTCAAGGCTTTAGCGAATTTTTCCTATTTTCTACGTCGCTTCCGTTTAACTTTGGCAAAAACAAATAAATTAGCCACAATAGAAGTTAATCTTAAAAGGGCTAGAGAGATGGTTCAGTGGTTAAGAGTGCATAGTGCTCTTGCAGAGGACTGGAGTTTGGTACCCAGCATCCACCTCTGGGGACCCCAGCTCCAGAGGCTCCCCTCTGCACTCTCTGGGCACCAGCACTCAACGCGTGCACAAGAACAAAAGTACATTCTGAAGTACGATATGCACATAATCAAAAAATAAAATAAATCGCCGGGCAGTGGTGTCCCACGCCTTTAATCCCAGCACTCGGGAGGCAGAGGCAGGTGGATCTCTGTGAGTTCGAGGCCAGTGCGAGCTCCAGGACAGACACCAAAGCTAGACAGAGAAACCCTGTCTCGAAAAACCAAAAATAACATAAAATAAATAAACCTAAAACATATTTTTAAAGCGAGGCTGAAGGGACTAGAATGACTATGATCGTAAGAAAAGGCATCCCATTGTGCTGAAATGTCTGTAAAAGCAATTTATCTGTACATCGTGCCAGACGCCTGTAATCTCAGCAGTGGGATAAGGACAAAGGCGTTTGGAAGTAAATTGAAAGTTCAGCTGGGCTGCTAAAGGGATCCAAGTCCAATCTGAGCTATGTGAGGCTTTGGGCAGCAGACAGGAAGGGAGATTGTCTTTTCCAAAGTAAAATTTTAAATATAGCCTGGGTTGTCTGGACAGGAAGTTAACCCAGGGGCCCGCAAACAGTCGGAAATGAACAAAGAACACGTTAGTGATTTGCATGGGTAATAAAAGGGGCAGGTGGCACACACCTTTAATCCCAGCACTTGGGAGGCAGAGGCAGGCGGATCTCTGTGAGTTCCAGGCCAGCCTGGTCTACAAAGCGAGTTCCAGGAAAGGCACAAAGCTACACAGAGAAACCCTGTCTCGAAAAACCAAAAAAAAAAAAAAGGGGGGGGGCAGGTGGGCAGGAGAGAAGGTTCAGCGGTTCAGCAGGTAAGGGTGCCTGCTGCCGAGACTGACTACTTGAATTCCAGAAAAAATAAGAAGAAAAAAGGAAAGGGGATGAAAGTGTGAGGGGGACATTGCAGGTGTCCGGGAGGAGTGGGAAGGATGTAATTAAAACACACTGCAGACATAGGAAATGTTCAGAGAATGAATAAGAAGTCTTTCAGATTTTGTTGCTATTGTATTAGGTTAGTGTTGTCAACTTGACATAATCGAGCATCAAGCGTCGCTTGCGGGATGGGTGGATGAACTAGAGAGAGGGGGGAGCCCTGACTGTGTGAGTGGAGACAGCGGGCTGAGGAGGGAGGAGTGTCCACTCACTGTTCTCCCTCATGTGACAGCTACTTCACTGTCCTGTGGCCTTGACTTTACCACCAGGATGGGCCGTACCCTTGACTAGGAGGAGAATGAACCTTCCTCCTCTTGGTTGCCTTCTCAAGGTGTCTTATCACAGTGACAGGAAAAAGAAACTCAGACATAAGTTTGTACATTTTTCCTAAAGATACAGGAGGGTTCAAATATGTGATTATAATATTTTGTTACTTGATCTTATTTTAAAGTTCAAAATTTTTAAAAACCTAGAATGTGGACCTGGCTTCTGACCAAATGCAAAAATGCAAGCTAAATATTTATAAACAAATGCTGCAAAAGATTATTGTTGGGCTGGAGAGATGGATCAATGGTTAAGAGTACTGGCTGCTCTCCCAGAGGTCCTGAGTTCAATTCCCAGCACCCTCATGGTGGCTGACAACCATCTACAGTGGGATCTAATGCCCTCTTCTGGTAATAAAGTTGTATGTGAAGATAGAGCACTCATATATAAAATAAAAAAATAAGTCTTTAAAAAAATTATTGTTGTTCCCAAACACACACAGAAATTCTTTTTTTTTTTAAAGATTTATTCATTTATTATGTATACAGGGTTCTGCCTGCATGTGTGCCTGCAGGCCAGAAGAGGGAGCCAGATCTCATTACAGATGGTTGTGAGCCACCATGTGGGTGCTGGGAATTGAACTCAGGACCTCTGGAAGAACAGCCAGTGCTCTTAACCTCTGAGCCATCTCTTCAGCAGAAATTCTAATCAAGTGAAAACAGAAAAGAAACCCAGAGAGTATGACAGGTAAGAAAGTTTCTATTGGAGGACGTGGTGGTCCCTTATAAAAGGAGGCAGAGCCTTTTGTACCATCCACCCGATCCCAAATTACCACACAGAGGCTTATATTAATCATAAATGTTTGGTGGATGGCTCAGGCTTACTAACTAGCTCTTACATTTAAATCCACCCATTTCTATTAATCTGTGTATCACCACGTGGTCCATGGTTTACTAGTCCCCTGGTATCTTGCTTCTTTGGCCACTGCTGCCTCTCCCTGACTCCACCCCCTCCATCCCAGCCATTTGTTTGATTGTACTGCCTAACCTCATCCTGCCTTGCCATAGGCCAGAACAGCTTTATTATCAACCAGTGAGAGAAGTACAGATTCACAGCATACAGAAGGATCATCTCACAGCAATCCCTTTAGTAACAGCACTTGGGAAGGCAGAGGCAAGCAAATCTCTAAGTTCAAGGCCAACCTGTTTTACAGAGTGAGTTCCAGGACAGCCAAGGCAACACAGAGAAACCCTGTCTTAAAAAACCAAACCAAAAAAGAAGACTGTGTCTTAGTTCAGGTTTCTATTGCTGTGGAGAGACATCATGACCACAGCAACTCTTATAAAGAAAACATTTCATTTGGGTGGCTTGCTTACAGTTTCAGAGGTTCTGTCCATTGTCATCATGGCAGGGAGCATGTCAGCAGGCAGGCAGACATGGTGCTGGAGTAGTAGCTGAGAGTCCTACATCTTGCAGGCAAAAGAAGTCAACTGAGACACTGAGTGGTATCCTGAACATAGGAAATATCAAAGCCCGCCCCCACAGTGACACACTTCCTATAACAAGGCCATACCCACTCCAACAAAGCCATATCTCCTAATAGTGCTACTCCCTGAGATTTGGGGGGCCAATTACATTCAAAGTACCACAGCTGAGAATGGAAGTTGGTAATAGCCTTGTGACCTCTGCATTATCTGTGTGGCCAGTCTACACCTGGCTCCCCACAGACTTTTACAAACAGGACCAAGGGCAGTTAATAGTCTAGTGACCTTTATGCTATCTGTATGATGGAGACTACACCAGATCCTCCCCCAGGCTCTCAAGATGACACACATAGTCTATATATAGAGGCCATCTTTACAGAAGAGGTGACATGAACTTTGAAACGAGTTTCAGACAGGATTGTGTTACACCTGGAAACTTTATTCTAAATTATACTATACTTCAATATGCCTAAAACAAACTGTCCAATGTAAGACTCTAGACGTTTGAGCCAGCACCAGCTACTGAGTCAAGCTGAACTGGATTTTCTTCTGGCTTTACATGGATCATTACTCTGCCAGCCCTGGGATTTGTGGAGATCCACGGTTCATACAATTGAAAAATCCACTAGCTCTGGAAGGAAA